AAAGTGCTGGGATTACAGGCATGCACCACCATGCCCGGCGCTTTTCTGTTTTTTTTTTTTTTTTTTTTGAGATGGAGTTTCACTCTTGTTACCCAGGCTGGAGTGCAATGGCGCGATCTCGGCTCACTGCAACCTCCGCCTCCTGGGTTCAGGCAATTCTCCTGCCTCAGCCTCCTTAGTAGCTGGGATTACAGGCACGTACCACCATGCCCAGCTAATTTTTTGTATTTTTAGTAGAGACGGGGTTTCACCATGTTGACCAGGATGGTCTCGATCTCTTGACCTCGTGATCCACCCACCTCGGCTTCCCAAAGTGCTGGGATTACAGGCTTGAGCCACCGCGCCCGGCCCGCTTTTCTGTTTTAAATACTCCTCTTCTATGTGATAGTAGCAAATCCACTTTTTCCCTCCTGCCTCTCTCCCTGCTCCTCACTGGCTGATCTGCAGTGATAGACTCTCACTCTGTCTCTTAGGCTGGTGTGCCCTAGCACGATCTCAGCTCATTGCAACCTCCACCTCCCAGGCTCAAGAGGAGGCTGGTCTTGAACTCCTGGTCTCAAGCAATCCTCCCAGCTCAGCCTCCCAAAGTGCTGCACCTGGCCACCTTTGCTCACTTTAGAACCCCTGGGTTTGCCTCCCCTCTGTTCCCTGCACACTGGGAAGAGAGGTAGGTATGAAAGCGTCACATTTGTCAACCATCTTTGTCTGGTGGAGGCAGGAGGAAAATGTGTTCAGGGATGTGGGTTTTTACAATTTTTCCTTTTCCTTTTATTTCTGTGATGAATATCTGTTCAACATCTCAATAACAATTTTATTGTGCTTGCTTTGAGGCTTAAGCATATGGCACAATTTTATTTATTTTTTATTTATTTATTTTTTGAGACAATGTCTTGTTCTGTTGCCCAGGCTGGAGTGCAATGGCGCAATCTTGGCTCAGTGCAAACTCCCCCTCCCGGGATAAAGCGATTCTCCTACCTCAGCATCCCAAATAGCTGGGATTACAGGCACCCGCCACCACACCTGGCTAATTTTTGGATTTTTCCCAAGTAGACAGTATAGCAAGGTGAGAATCTGCCTCAGTGAATATCAGAAGTATGTAAGACCAACAGAGTGGAAATTTCTTTCTTTCTTTCTTTCCTTCCTTCCTTCCTTTTTCTTTCTTTCATTCTTTCTTTCTTTCTCTCTCTCTGTCTCTCTCTCTCTCTCTGTCTCTCTCTCTCTCTCTCTCTTTCTTTCTTTTGATATGGAGTCTTGCACTGTCACCCAGGCTGCAGTGCAGTGGCACAATCTCAGCTTACTGTAACCTCCCTCCGCCTCCCAGGTTCATGCAATTCTTCAGCCTCAGCCTCCCAATTAGCTGGGATTACAGGAACGCACTACCATCCCTGGCTGGTCTTAAACTCCTGACCTCAGGTGATCCACCCTCCTCGGCCTCCCAAAGTGCTGGGGTTACAGGTGTAAGCCACTGTGCTTGGCCAGAAATGTTTTATAAATGGAAATATTGTAACTGTTGTTAAACATATTAGCACTCTTTTTAAAAATTGTAGTAAAAAAATGTGTAATGAGTATTTCACATTGTTGTGCAATCAATCTTTAGAAACTTTTCATCTTGTAAAACTGAAATACTATACCCATCAAATAATTCCTTTTTTTCCCCCTCCTTCCAGCCCCTGGCAACTACTATTCTACTTTCTGTTTCTATGAGTGTCAGATACCTCATGTAAGTGGAATCAGACAGTATTTGTCTTTTTGTGACTGACTTATTTCGCATAGCTTAATGTCCCTCAATGCTCATCCATGCTGTAGCATTTCCTTTTTAAGGCTGAACAATAGCCCACTGTATGTAGAGATCACAGTCTGTTTATCCATTCTTTTGTCCATGAACACCTGGGTGGCTTCTACCTTTTAACTCTTGCAAATAAGCCTGCTCTGAACATGAGTGTGTAAATATCTCTTCCAGATCCTGCTTTCAATTATTTTGGATGTATACCCAGAAGTGAAATTTAAGCACTCCAGCTTGGGCAACAGAACAAGACTCCATCTCAAAAAAAAAAAAAAAAAAAAAAAAGGGGGGCAATAAAAAATGCTTTTAAGATGATTGAGTTGCTTTTTAAAGCAAAACAAAAGCTGGAACTAAGCATTCACCCCCATGCCCAGCTAATTATTTAAAATTTTTTTTCATAGAGATGGAGTTTCACCATATTGCACAGACTGGTCTCAGACTTCTGAGCTCAAGTGATCCACTCACCTCAGCCTCCCAAAATGCTGGGATTACAGGCATGAGCCACCGCACCCAGCCCCCTCTGTGTCTGTTTCTGATTAAGCAATCTTCATCAATTTTTCAAAATATATTATTAAATATGTAATAAAAAAGCAACTCAGTCAGCCTACATGGAAATTGGTCACTGTAGCAGTTAAGAACTCATTCAATTTACGTTTAAATTTCTATGCCCACTTACCATCTGTAAGAACTCAGAAAAGTTATGGAGTCCTCTGAGCCTCAGTGGCCTCATCTGTAAAATGGAAGCATGAAGCATCACTTGCTTTGTGAAGATGGAAGGAGAATGTTATGTACAAAATTTTTCATTTGTTGCCACAAAGAAAAATTAGTACTGGGACAAAGAATCTCTCAGCAAAACAATTGTTTTTACTTCCTACAGAAAGGGTACACCCACCAGCAATCTTGCCACTAGGGTACAATGAGTAAAGGAAAGCAGACATTTATTTCTTATGTATTTGGGATGGTCCTTACTGCTGTGTCCGATCTCCATTGGCTGGAGCCAGACATCACAATCTAAACTAAAACCTGATTGGTTAATAACTTGAAACTTTTCTAAAGAGATGGAAGCAATGAAGGGCAAAAAAAGGAAGTCCAAATAAGGAAGGGACATAGGCTGCAAGCTGGGACATGCCCGGCAGCACGTTCAGCATATATATCTTGGTTAAAGTACAAGGAGATAGAATGTACTAGGTGCCTGTAAGCATGTCTAACAGCTACATAGGATAGGGCTTCTAGCAAAAAGGCAAGAAGGCTTTCAAAGAAAGTGTTTAAAACAATTATTTCTTTTTTTTTTTTTTTTTTTTTTTTGAGACGGAGTTTCGCTCTTGTTACCCAGGCTGGAGTGCAATGGTGCGATCTCGGCTCACCGCAACCTCCGCCTCCCGGGTTCAGGCAATTCTCCTGCCCCAGCCTCCTGAGTCGCTGGGATTTCAGGCACGCGCCACCATGCCCAGCTAATTTTTGTATTTTTAGTAGAGACGGGGTTTCACCATGTTGACCAGGATGGTCTTGATCTCTTGACCTCGTGATCCACCCTCCTCGGCCTCCCAAAGTGCTGGGATTACAGGCTTGAACCACCGCGCCCGGCTAAAACAATTATTTCTAACACTTATGAATTCTTAAGAAAGGAACTTTGAAGAGGAACTTCCCTACAATTTTCCTCCTCTTTTACTTTATGGTTCGTCCTCAGGCTTGTTTAACATATCTTGACTCAACTGCTCTGTTTGACTTTCTACGAGAAGTAACTTTTCTGAATAAGGTTGGGGAGGGTTCGAGGAGATTTTAGTAAGTGCTGTGTTTACTAGTCTTTGTACTCGCCCGCAGATGCATGGTATAATACAGCACCCAACAAGAGGGAGTATACTTATTACAGTTGCTGAGGAAGTAAGAATTGAGGCTATGATCTCTTGGCCAAACCGTCTCTCGAGCCAATTTGAAATAAGGTTGTAAATGTCGGAATTTTTTTGCTAACTCATTTGATAAGGCAGTAAGCCCTTGGAGGGCTTGTGTTATGTTTCCATTGGAAGCACTGTTGTTTGGGATAAAGGCGCAACGCTGAGTTTTGATCATAACACAAACACCAACTTTTTCTGCTAATATCATATCTAAAGCTATCCCAGTCTCCCAGGCCATTTGACTAGTGGATCTTAATTGTTCAGCTACTCCCTTAACGGCATCTTTAGGAGAGTTAACAAAAAGCTGCTGTTTGTAATAAACGTCGTTTACCCAATCTACGTTTTTATTATTCATCACTCACCAAAACAACATTGACTCAAAACCTGTAGCTTTAAATTTTAAATTCCTGGCTTTAAATTTTTCTGGTACTCCATGAGGAACTCCAATGGCATCTAAATAGATATGGGAATCAAAAGACCCATAAGGGTCTGCTTCCTTTGAGGCTTCTCTTATCTGCCTATGTCGTATTTTTCTCTCTTTCTGGTTGATAAAATGCCAGGGTAAAAAGGTTAGCCAAGTGAACTAGAGCACAAGTACCATTCCAGTTGTTTGGCAGAGTGTCCAGTAAAGGCCCTCCACAATACCACCATGCGTCTGCTCGGGGATGAGTAAGGGTGGACTGATGGGTTGGCTTTTGGAAGTGCCTGACTTCACTGCATCCTGTTAACGTTTCCAAGGAACACTAAGTTATCCCCCTGTCATGAGAGACATGAGGTGAACTTTGCCTTGGGAGATGGAGGCTGTATGGCCCTCGGGGGCTGACCTGCAAGGTGTTGAACTTCAGGAAATAGCAGAGAAAGAGCTTGGCACAATTCATTATCCCAGGTGGTGGAATCTTGAAAAAAATCTACCATGCACTCCATGTCCACTTGATTCGAGGACCATCTAAGTGGAAAGGAAACAATCTGGGCCTCAGCTCTACAGTGTGTACAAGTGTAACACTTGCTTATTTAAAGTGCAGATGGAATATTTATTCTAACCAGACATTTGCATCTTGGTATCCTGCTTCAATAGCTACGGTCTGTCTTAGGTCTTTTACTTCCACTACAGAAATTTTGGTTTTGTCATTGTGCCAGGGAGGAGTGATTGATAAAGAGATTGAAGGAGCAATAAAGCATATTTCAAAACTTCCTTTAGGATCTTTTCCTGAAACATCAGCTCCCATGCCATAAATATGTCGTAATGAGGGGGAAGAGCTTTTAGATGTTGGACAGCATGAGCCCATCTTGTATGAAAGTTAAATCCTCTGTCTTCTGATTTTCAGGACATGAGGCTCTGCCTACAGTCAGCCACTTGGAATATTCAGACTTCAAACCAGCATTGCAGATTATAACCCTCCATAAATCACCCACAGCCCAACCCCTATCAAATGCCAGACTGAAACACTCATGGACATGTGACTTCAGTGTTCCCAACATCTTAAGATCAACTTGGTTTATGCAACGTTTGAATTGATTTGGGACAAAGCAAGAACAATAAGGGTAAAAAAGTAAGTTTCCATACAGCTGAATTTATTCAGTTACATGAACTACCCTTCCTTCTAAATGGGGTCTTACTCTTTTTTTCTTTAAGACAGAGTCTTGCTCTGTCACCCAGGCTGGAGTACAGTGGCATGATCTTGGCTCACTGCAACTTTCACCTCCAAGGGTCAAGTGATTCTCCTACCTCAGCCTCCCAGGTACCTGGGATTACAGGCACATGCCACCATGCCCAGCTAATTTTTGTATTTTTAGTAGAGACAGGGTTTTACCATGCTGGCCAGGCTGGTCTCGAGCTCCAGACCTCGTGATCCAGCTGCCTTGGCCTCCCAAAGTGCTGGGATTATAGGCGTGAGCCACTGCACCCAGCCTGCCCTCTCCTTTTTTTAATGTCCATAAAATGTTTTATGCGATAATGGTGACAGTCAATTGTGATAGCTGTCATTGCCTTTAATGTATTTAGTTGGCAAAACAGAATTTTAGTGGGACTAGTTTCTTTCCTTCTCTCCATTCTCTGCTACAAAAACCATTTTTAAAAAGTTGGTTGGTCTGTTTTGAGTCAAATAAATGACGATTCATTGGAACTAGTTAAGAGCTTCTGTAGAATCATTTTTCTAATTTTAAATGTGCGTCTTAAGTATGTAGGGATCTTGTATCATTTACAAGATCGTCGCTAGAACAGAACGTTGATTTCATTCAGGTTGAAAGGTTAATTGCGTTTTCATGACAAAGTTCACCCCATTAGAAGACGAAACGTACAGCTCAAATTGGACATTGTGGCCTCATTTTGCCTGTCTCATGGCAACTTCCTGCTCTTGGTGCTGATCAGACTGCTGTTTTGTGAGGCTCTGGTTTCTCTTTCCTGTCTTTCAGGTAACCAATGGCCTCAGTTAGAAAATTAACTTTTGGACAATTCACAGGCTGCATGGTCACTTGCTCTAGCCAAGCCTGGGACAGGAGATGGGGAAAGGAGATTAAAGACAAGAATCATAGCTGGCCATCTGCTGCTGGCGCCTGTAGAGCTAAAGCATTCTTTGTGACAGTTCCATGATATTCCACTGCGCAAATGTCCTGTGACTGATTCAGCTCATCTCCTATTGGTGAATGTTTGAATCGCTTCCAGTTTTTTGTTGTTACACACAAAGCTTGCCCTGGCAACCCTTAGCAGTTCTGACTGAGTGTCTGGGTTTTGTGAGATCATTTTGGTGGTGCAGAATAGAACTCGTGAGTGGGTGGTCCCGCATTCTGCTAGCTTGAGGCTGGGAGAAGTAGGAGGCAGCAGAGAGCCAGGTGAATAGCTTGAATATGACCTCATCCATATTCTAGGATGTAATTGATCCCTTGAAGATTTCTGAATTAGCTGAATGACAAAGACAAGATAGTTTGATGATCCATTCAAATCAGGAAGCCTTACAACATCAAATAAGGAGTCCTCAATTAACAGCCTTAGAAGACATGTCATTGCTTGGTCTTGTGATTGAAAACCATTCAAACTGAAGTGAGAAACCCTAAATAGGATATGGAAAGGAGGACTTGAAATAAATGGATCAATAGCCCTTATTGAGGAGGTGCTAGAGAAACAAAAACTAGGGAGAAAGAAAGTAGGATAATACCCTCTTTGTGCTTTTTCCACGGCAGCAGGAAGCATTATCATGCCTTTGAACCTTCAGGATATCTCATTTACTCCTCTAATAGTTAACAGGAAGCTAAGGGTAAGGTTCTCAGGAGGCAACACCTGCTTCATTTGACATCAGTACAAGAGACTATTTCCTTGTGGCCATTTCCTCCTTTCTTTTTCCCAATCCTTTTCTGTCGGTTTAGCTGTTTGTTTAGGTATTTGTTGCAGTACAGGGTGGTAGTGGTTAGAGCATTTGTTCCCAACTGTGAAACAGACGTGCAATACACAGGCTCTTGTCAAATGACAATGGAGGAGAGAACTGCAGCAACAGACTTGAAGCTAATTGTTGGCCATCACATATAACATCTATCAATCAATCATCTATCTACCCACCTATCTGTTTATCTAATCTATGTGTATTTTTGTGTGTGTGTTATATGAATGTGTATATATAATGTATATTATATGTAGATCTATTATATATGTATATATGAATAAATATATACATAAATTGTATGCATGTCTGTGTGTGTGCATATATACATATAATATACACATATGAAGTTTTGTATATATACATATATATAAATTTGTCAAAGATTCAAAACAAAGACAAAAATGATTTGTATCAGTTAGGCTAGTCTAAGCTCTGGTGCTCAAACTACCTTAAAATCTAAATGTCTTCAAACATAAAAGATTGTTTCTTGCTCATGAAACTCTAAGGTGGATTGGTGCAGGTGGGCAGTGATCCATTTAGTCATGCAGGAACCCAGGCTGGTGACTGGGTCCCCTATGGGAATATCACTGGTTGCCATGGCAGCAGAAGGGGAACTAGAGGGTCTTATTTTGGCTTTTGAATTCTTTCAGTTGGAAGTGACAGAGTCACTTACGCTCACAGCCCATTGGCCAGAGATAGCCATATGCGATTGTCTTCCTTCATCACCATGACCTAGAGGGGACTCCAGAGTCTCTTCCCAGCTCCACTCCTGCAGGCCCCTTCTGAGTGCTTTGTTTGCTGGTGACCCTGAGTCCTGGCTTCATTATATTTTTATTCAATCCCTTTGAAAGAGTTCCCATGATAAATTCTTTTCAGAAATTGATATTGGGAGGAAGTGTGGTCCTCTGGAAAAATTGGTATATTGCCTTTCTTTCCTCACATATAGTATTAGATAACTTGTCATGATTCCCTTTTAGTCTTGGCTGATAAGAAGCTCAGGGCAAAATTTAGTTCTCAGGTACAGTCACTGTGTCAGCCTGGGAATTTTATAGGATTGCTCCTTCCTCTATCTGATTATAAGACATTTCCTTTTTCTTTCTTTCTTTCTTCCTTTCTTTCCTTTTTTTTTTTTTTTTTTTTTTTTTTTTTGAGACATGGTCTCACTGCATACTCAACCTTCTGGGATCAAGCGATCCTCCCGCCTAGCCTCCTGAGTAGCTGGGATTACAAGTGTGTACCACCACGCCTGGCTAATTTTTTTTTTTTTTTTTTTGTAGAGATGGGGATCTTGCTATATTGCCCAGGCTGGTCTCAAACTCCTAGCCTCAAGCAGTCCTCCTGCCTTGGTCTCCGAAAGTGCTGGGATTACAGATGTGAGCCATCATGCCTGGCCCATTTCCTATTTCTTTAATCATGTCCTGGTTGAGTGCATGACTTTTATTGTGTACTGACTCCTATCTCTTTTGGAAGTTGCCAGGGTTTACATTGCACATAAATAAAAATTATGGCAAATAATAGCTTCCATTCAATGACTGCTTGCTTGATGCTGGCTGCCTTCTATGCCTTATTTTGTTCATTCCTTGCAACAATCCTATGAGATATTACTGTCAGTATTGTATGGTTGAGGAAACAGACTCAGAGGGATTAAGTGACTTACCCAAGTCCACACAGCCAGCAAATGGAAACTAAGCCCAGTTCTATCTGATACCAAGGACTGGGCTCCTAACCACTTTCATTTCATAGCATCACATAGACAGATGATTCCATTCAGGTAATGTATATTCACCTAGGAGACCTGTCTTCACCTAGGTTTTGTTTTCATTAGTGCCGATTTTCTTTGATTTATGTATAAGAAAACTGGAAATATTTGTGAGCTAAAACACTACCACTTTTTTCAACTGGTATAATGGCTCCTGGGAGAAATGGAAGGTTTCATGTTACAACTTCTGGTTTCTCATTTTCTTTTTAAAATTTAGAAGTATATATTTACAGAGAAGGGCACAACTCTTAAGTGTGCAACTTGATGGATTTTTACACACACGCTCATATATATGCCTCCCTTTAACCACACCAAGATCACCAGCCAGCACTCCAGAGATTCCCTCATGCAGTTCCTAGTCAGCACTCACCTCTTTCCTTCCCCAAGGTAGCCACTATTTTGACTTCTGTCCCCATGTATTAGTTTGCCTGCTTTTGAACTTTGTGGGTAAAAGAATGAATGAATGAATGAATGAAAGGGAGGGAGGGAGGGAGGAAAGAAAGGGAGAGAAAGTAAGGAGGCAGGAAGGAAGGAAAGGAAAGAAAGAAAAAAAAAGAGAGGGAGAAAGGAAGGAAGGAAAGAATGAAAGGAAGGAGGGAGGGAGGATGGAAGGAAGGAAGGACGGATGGATGGACAGACAGTTTCTGTGAACGTTTTTCCTGTCTTTTGGTAGAAGTACTCATTTATCTTGGGCCAATACAGCTGGATCTGTTTTCAATTTCTTGAATTTACTAGGCATCATTTAGCTGGTTAGATGTAATAGCTTTGAGTTTTGTTAGGCTGTGGAAGTTTCTGGAGCATAAATATAACTTTCTAGTCTTAGAATACAAGTAAACAAATAGGATCATTTTTCATGTTAGGGAGAGTAGTTTGCAATAAAGCACAGCATTTAGTCTTCTTAGCACTACAGTTTGTAAAGGTGTTCCTGTTTGCAAAACTTCGCATATTTGTCAGAATTCTTCTTTTTCATTTGCAAATGACAGAAACCCAACTCAAACCAACTTTAGTTCAAAAGAGAATGTAATGACTCAAGTATCCAGCTGCCTTCAGGTATGGCTGAATTCAGGTGTTTAAATGATGTCCTCAACATCTGGTCCTCTTCCTGTTTATCTCTTGGCTCTGTTCTCCTCCCTGTTGGCATCACTCTTAGGCCCTTCTCCACTGGTGACCACTGACAGCTTCCGGTTTAAACTTTCCTAACTCTGGCTAGTGCAGTGGTTAACGCCTGTAATCCTAACCCTCTGGGAGGCCGAGGTAGACAGATCGCTTGGGCCCAGGAGTTTGAAAACAGCCTGGACAACATAGTGAAACCCTGTCCCTACAAAAGTACAAAAATTAAGTGGGCATGGTGGTGCACACCTGTAGTCCCAGCTGCTCAGAAGGCTAAGGGAGGAGGATCACCTAAGCCTGGGAGGTCGAGATTGCATTGAGCTGTGATCATGCTACTGCACTCCAGCCTGGATGGCAGAGTGAGGCTCTGTCTCAAAAAATAAAATTTCATAACTCCAAGGCCAGCAGAAGGCAACTCCCCTCTTCCTTACAGTTCTGATAAAACTCCCAGAATTGAATCTCAGTGACTTTAACTCGGTTGTGTGTTCTGACAGAATCACTGTCGCCAGGAAGAAAATCATTCTGATGGGTCATATTGTTGTACTGGAGCGAGAATAGAAAATCAACACCAAGACAAAAGTATGCCAAATTGCAGGTCCTTGTTGCTGGCGGCCATGGAGGACTCAACGTCTCTCTAACCCATGGCTGCGAAAGGAGGGTGTCAAGACATTTTATGCCCGTAAACCACCTCGGGGGTGAGGGTGAGGGGCAGGGGTGGGGGTGAGGGGGTTCACACATTCCCAGGGCCAGTGGATTCAGTAAATCACCTCCTGGGCGGAGATGAGGGTGAGGGGCTCCAGACATTCTGAGGGCCAAGGTACTTTGGATATTTCGATTGTTACTTAAGTGGTTTACAGAAGTCAAGATAAGCATTAGTTTGCACATTGTCTGGGTAGTGCTGGGAATTACAGACCTTAGTTACTTTTTTTTTTTTAATTATTTTTATTTTTTTTAATTGCATTTTAGGTTTTGGGTTACATGTGAAGAACATGCAAGATTGTAGCATAGGTACACACCTGGCAGTGTGATTTGCTGCCTTCCTCCCCTTCACCTATATCTGGCAGTTCTCCCAGTTACTTATTACAAGTCGCAGGGACCAAGATGGCATGGGTTTGGACTGCTTGCCTGTCACATCAGGGTTACAGAGAGCACTTTCAACAGAAAGCCGAGGTATGGTTGAGGTATGCAGTTTTATGGGACTTTTATCATGTCACAGTATCCCACTGGTGGCCCACAGGGACTGACAGTGTGGGAGAGATGTTACCCGAGGAAAATCGTTAACTACAAAAGAGAGAAGTGGATGCCGGGCAGGACACGATCATAAAGCACATGCTGAGATGTTAACTATGCTGAGAAATATGGGCGTGGGTGGGCACACGAGCATTCTGAGACCACAGGTGTTGGCAGAAAGTTAATATTGTCTTAGCTCTGATTACTCAAGTCTAACCCTTGTCATTTACATAGAGATAAACTTGTAAAAGTTGGCGGAGCTTTAAAAATGTTCTACTTTGGCTGGGCGCGGTGGCTCAAGCCTGTAATCCCAGCACTTTGGGAGGCCGAGGCGGGTGGATCACGAGGTCAAGAGATCGAGACCATCCTGGTCAACATGGTGAAACCCCGTCTCTACTAAAAAAATACAAAAAATTAGCTGGGCATGGTGGCACGTGCCTGTAATCCCAGCTACTAAGGAGGCTGAGGCAGGAGAATTGCCTGAACCTGGGAGGCGGAGGTTGTGGTGAGCCGAGATCATGCCATTGCACTCCAGCCTGGGTAACAAGAGCGAAACTCCGTCTCAAAAAAAAAAAAAAAAGTTCTACTTCCTTTCAAAAACATCGCCATTCCTCTCATCATGCTGGCTTGAAACTGTAGAGATATGCTTGTCTTTTATTTTCCTTCTCACCCTTCCCCTAATGGATCAGCCAACAAATCCTATTGATCCTTTCTTTAAATTTTCTCCCCTACTGATTCCTTTTTTACTCTATTCCCTCTGGCACGATGCCGGAAGCTCCAGACTTACTTATATATTCTATCCTCTTAGCCACCCCAGTGAAATAAGAGCACCTCTTGCCCAGTGAGCCTCAGCATTTGCCTTATTTGAACACAGTTTGAACAATTAGCTGCCTGAGATTGGCTGAAATTCAGTGCAAGTACAAGAATAGGCTACAGTCTGTTGACACCTCCAGTTAGGTCACAGTTCATTATGTACAGAGAAATCTTTAGGGCAAACTTAAAACATGTTAGGAGGTAGCTTTGGGCTAAATTTAACACAAGTATGCTGTAGGCTATAGATCAGAGCTTATGTAGCTCATAAAATCTTACTTTCAAATTGGAAGGGGTCATAGCAATTGTCTACTTGCCCAGTCCTCTAGTTTCCATTAACCATTCTTCTTTTATGCACTGATATTAATTTAGGCTTTGACCCCTAAAACCTCAAGTGTAATCAAAAAGTGCAAAAAGTCTTTGTATCTTTGAATCCTTTGGTTCACTGTTCTCTTCCCCTACAACCAAAGGAATGTATTGTTCAAGAGGTAAGCTTAGTTCCATGCGGTCTTTAAAGACTACAAAAACAGTGGTTTAAACAAGATAATTTTATTTCTCTCTCACATAATAGTCTGAGCTGATACAATAGCTGTGCTCTGTGAAGTAAGTCATCAGCAACCCAGCAACCTTCCCTCTGTTGAGTATTTATTCCAAATGCGGGTCTTGGCTTCGTGTGCGTGACCCAAGATGGTGCACCGTCATTTCCACGTTCCAGCACACAGGAAGCAAGATGGAGAAAGGGGGGAATACCTTCTTCCCTCTAACAGCTCCGCCTGGACGTTGTGTGGATCACGGCCGTTCTCATCCCATTGACCACCCTCATGTTCATGCCTTGGTGCAAGAGAAGCTAGAAACATAATCTTTATTCTAGGCAGTTGTATACTCCGCTATGAATGAAAGGAGAGCAGGTACTGGAAGATAACCAGCCATCTCTGCAGGGAAGAAAGGGAAAAAAAATCTGACTTTTTCTTTTCTTCTTGTTTTTCAGGTGGAAAAAAAAAAAAGAAAGATCCCTGAGTAATTGCAAATGCTGGGACAGTTTACCACTCCAGGGTGAAGAGTCCGTACCAACATGTCTGCCTACTACAGGAATAACGGGTTTGAGGAAGACCCAGATTACCTTGACTATTCAAGGTCTCCGAACCGTACACAAGGGTATTTGAAAACTCAGCGTTATCCAGATGCTCTGGGTCCTCCAAACAATCCACACAACCCCGGCACCAGGAACAATCCATACTCTGTAGACTCCAGAGAACGTCCAGACTATCCTGGGTCTCTGAGTAATCCAGACTATTCTGGTACCAGAAGTGATGCATACTCTTCAGCCTCTAGAACAAGCCCAGACCATCCTATCTCTCTACCAGAGCCAGATTATAGTGAATTTCAGAGTCATCCGTACCACCGACCATCATCCAGACAGCCAGACTACCCTGGATCTCAACGAAATCCTGATTTTGTAGGCTCCAGCAGCAGTGGAAACTATGCAGGCTCCAGAACACATCCAGATTATTTTGGCTCCTTAGGAGAACCGGACTACCCTAGAGCTCAGAGCAACTCTGATCATCCTGGACCCAGAGCCAACTTGAACCATCCAGGCTCCAGAAGGAATCTAAAACATACAGGTTTCAGAATCAATCCGTATACAGATTCTCTGGGAGAGCCTGATTATCCAGGTGCTGAGATTCAACCTAACTCTCCACCCTTTTTTGGGGAGCCAGATTATCCCAGAACTGAGGACAATCAGAACTCATCAAGCGCTTGGGGAGAACCTGATTATTCAGATGCTGAGAATGGTTATGATTATGGCTCTTCTGAGACCCCAAAGATGACCAGGCGGTAAGTTCTGGTATATATCCCTTCATTGGGAGTGGAGGCTGAGTGCTGGATCATCAAGTCAATGGAATTTGGTGTGTGGTTTAGATTATGGATATATATGATCGGTTCCATGACCTGAAGTTGTGGTGAAACTCGCATATCTACCTGTAGAACTCACCTTGCTCATGGACTCTCAGTTTGAGGCTTCAAGCCCTTACCTGAACTTAATCTTCCAACACTTCTTGCTTGGATTACCTTTCCATTATCCCACCTCTTCCTTATTCGATCCCTGTAAGACATCTAGATCCACACTGTTTTGACCCTACTACATTGCCAATAGGCTTAGGGTTAAGAATTGACACTTATAAATCCAAACACTTTAGTGAGAATTACATCAACAGTAATGAATTGTTATCCAGAAAATATTTTGGAGATCTAATTCCATGAAGTCAATTAAGTTTTTTTAATAAGATATTGTGCCACTTCTTTGGGGTTTTTTTGTTGTTGTTTATTTAGTTAGTTATTTAATTTTTTTTTTGAGACGGGATCTTGCTGTGTCACCTAGGCTGGAGTGCAGTGGCACAATCATAGCTCACAGCAGCCTCAACCTCGTGGGTTCATTGATCCTTCCGCCTCTGCCTCCCAAGTATCTGGGACTATAGGTGTGCACCTATTATGCCCAGCTAATTTTTGTATTTTTTGTAGAGACGGTGTTTTGCCATGTTGCCCAGGCTAGTCTTGAACTCCTGAGCTCCAACCTGCTAGGATTACAGGCGTGAGCTACCATGCCCAGCCATGTTTTTATCACTTTGATTTTTACACTTTTACTTCTATTTTACTGAAATTGTCAGAATTGACGACTTTTCACCAAAACTTTACTGCAGATTTGATTCACCAGTTATCTGCACTATTTTAATTAAATTTTGTCAATTATAGTTTTCATCATTTTCAGTATTCCTTTAAGGCTGCTTTTAAATAGCAAGTCCAGTTTTTCCAGGTTTAGAGTCTGTAGATCTAAGTTTTGTCTAAAAGATTTTGATCTTCTGTCAATTTTGTTCCTTGACAAATTTTACCACTGACAGCATTAGTTTGGGTGACTTAGTTCTACCAAACCTGATTTTTTCTGGGTTAAGTTTTTTCATGTTCATGTTGCTAGCAAAATGTAATTTATTTTTTTAATTATTTATTTTTTTTGAGACAGAGTCTCGCTCTGTAGCCCAGGCTGGAGTGCAGTGGCACAATCTTGGCTCACTGCAACTTCCGTGTCTTGGGTTCAAGGTGATTCTCCTGCCTCAGCCTCCCAAGTAGCTGGTATTGCAGACATGCAACACCATGCCCAGCTGCTGTTTGTATTTTTAGTAGAGACAGGGTTTCACTATGTTGGCCAGGCTGATCTTGAACTCCTGACCTCAAATAATCCACCTGCCTTGGCCTCCCAAAATGCTGGGTATTACAGACATGAGCCACTGGGCCCGATCTAGGATGTGATTTTTTAAAGTCAGTTTGTGGTTTCATCAATAACAATGTTTACCATGCGACGTTTTAACCAATATGAGTCTGATTTTGCATTTACTGTTTCTACTAGTAATATTTATAAATTTAATTTTTTAAAAACTTGGGGCTTGTATTTATCTTTAGGAACAAGGATATAGGATTTGAGTGTGCAGCAGTCACGATGTCTTTAGAACCCAAATAGTAGGGTTAACAGGACCAGGTGAAAATGTCCATCTTGTTCTTATTATCCAATGCCTGATTCATCATTCCAAAGCCTACCTTTGATCCTGTCACTCCTTTGCTTTTCATTGTCCATGGGTCCCCATAGCCTTCAGAAGAAAGGTCTCCCAACTTCACTTATAGAACATTTATGAATAAGGATATGTCGTGTTAATGTAAGATGCCAGCCAAAGACCAGCCTGACTGATCTCCTGTTATGTCTCCTGTCTGCCCCCCGCCTTGACCCTATACTCTAGGTCAGTGGTTCTTGACTTTGGCTGGTCCTTAGAGTTACCCAATTATCTGGGGAACTTTAAAAATAATACAGATGCCTGGGCCCAACCTTCAGAGCTTCTGATTTAATTATCTGGGATCAAGCTTGGGAATTTGTATATGTATTAAATTAAGAATCATTATTTATTAATTGATTTTCATAGCATTTCCTTTATATATTCAGCACTTTCTGGACTCACACCTTTTTTTATGCTGTTCTTCATCTTTGGAATGCCCTCCCGCTATGTATCCTTTCAAATCCCCACTCACATGTGTCTTTCCATGTAGATTTCTCCCAAAATTCTCTTTACTTGTCCTAAATAGGTCAACTCTTTCCTCTGAACTCCTTGGGCCTGTCTTCGGATACTCATCAGTTTCTACTTGTAGTATAATTTCTCATAACTGTGTCTAAGAAGCCGTACCAACTTGTACTGAGAGCTTATTGAGGGCAGATGCCTCATGTTTTTCTCTTGATATCCTCACTTCCTAGCCCATCCCTAACTCAGGATTGGCATTTAGTCTGCATTTGTGAAATGAAATGGAATGGAATGGATGGATATATGGATGGATACATTAATGAATGGATAGATACATGGATGGATAGATGGATGGATACATGTATGTATGGTTGGATGGATGAGTGGATGGATAGATGGATAAATGGATGAATCAATGGGTGGATGAATGGGTAAATGGAAGAATGGATGGATGGATGGATAAATGGATGGATGAATACATGATTGAATGGATGGATACATGGATAAATAGATGGATGGATGGATACATGCATGACAATCCTTACCATACTCCTGGTTGGATGGTGATCCATCATTTTGGGATTTTAGGGTGCTCAGCAGAACATCTTCAATCCAGCCCTCAAATCATCACAGGAGTGATGGCTCCTTGGGCAACCTTTGGGGAGAGAATGAAGATTACCCTGAAAGGATTGAAATGGCATCCATGGAGATGGCAAACTCATATAGACACTCTCTGCCCGATGCTCCTGGAAATGGCTATGGTAAGCATTTATTAAGCCAGGATCATATCCTGTGACGAATGTAAAATCAGTGGATTTAGGGGTGCAGTCATTAAAGAGGTGTGGCAATAGAATTGATGTATCCTTCCAATCTCATAGACCGTTTTGTTTTTTGTTTTTTTGTTTTATACACAAGAGTTGAGAATTCAGTGTTTAGAGATGCCAAGCTAATTGTCTTCAATTATAAAAGTCAGGTAAGGGTTGTGGGAAATGGGGACCCGTGCACCCTGTGCCTCCCGGAGGTGGTGAAGTTCAGTCCGCAGTGGTTATGTGGCAAGGTGGGATCAGTGTGGCGAGATCCTCATATTTTTCAGCAGAAGCCATGTATTTGGGGTTTTATGTGAAGCCTGATGTTTATGTATTCCAAAATCATTTTTAAAAGTAAAAACAATGAGGTGGGCAAACGAAATCACATTTTTTTGTGAGCTGCCAGTGGCCACCTATAGTTTAGCATATCCTGTAGGCATTGAAACAATCAGTACTTACGTGTTCAGAACCTACTGGAGGAAAAGGGAGTTCAGAGGTAGTTCTGCCCTCATGTTATTTAAAGCCTAAATAGGTCAATGAAAGTGGCACGTCAAGACTAAAGAAAAGGCCAGGTGTGGTGGCTCACACCTGTAATCCCAGCACTTTGGGAGGCTGAAGCAGGTGGATCACCTGAGGTCAGGAGTTGGAGACCAGCCTGGCCAACATGATGAAACCGTGTCTCTACTAAAAATACAAAAAATTAGCCAGGCACGGTGGCAGGCACCTGTAATCCCAGCTACCCGGGAGGCTGAGGCAGAAGAATCGCTTGAATCCAAGAGGCGGAGATTGCAGTGAGCCAAGATTGCGCCACTGCACTCCAAGCTGGCCAACAGAGTGAGACTCTGCTAATTTTCTTTAATCTTTTTTTTTTTTGAAACAATCAAACTATTAATATTTGAAAAATCATGTTGTCCTCATCATTTGTTGTGTGTATGGGTAAGATGCTTAGCTCCAGGAGGCAAAGGAACTTCTGATCAGTTCTTTTTTTTTTTCTTTAGAGACAGGATCTTGCTCTGTCACCCAGGCTGATCATAGCTCACTGCAGCCTCAAACTCCTAGGCTCAAGAATCCTCCCACCTCAGCCTCCCCAGTAGCTGGGACTGCAGGTGCATGCCACCATGCCTGGCACATTTTTTTAATGCCTGACAAAGATGGGGTCTTGCTATGTTGCCCAGGCTTGTCTTGAACTCCTGGCTTTAAGCAATCCTCCAGCCTTGGCCTCCCAAAGTGCTGGGATTACAGGCATGAGCCTCGGCAAATTCTGAATAGTTCTTACTTACCAGGAGGAAAAACAGACTTGTTCCAGGAAGCCATTTGATGGCATAAAAGAAAAAAAAATCCAGGCAATATTAAAGGACTTTGGAGGCTGAGGAGGTCAGAAAAGGGAGGAAGTGTTCAGCTAATAAGAAGAGAACAAGAGACCCAAGTGCTGGGAGGTGCAGATGGAGGATTGATAAGCCTTGAGGAGTAGATGGGGAAGGTTTGGAAGAAGGCAGAGAGGAGGGGACAGGATGCATAGCCCTGTGCTAATGAAAACACTGACTGTTAACACATAGAACATTTTCAATCTGGGCCTAATTTAAAAAATTAGCTGGGCATGGTGGCACACACCTGGGGTCCCAGCTACTTGGGAGATTGATGCAGGAGGGTCGCTTGAGTCTGGGAGGTTGAGGCCGCAGTGAGCCATGCTTGTACCACTGCACTCCAGCCTGAGTGACAAAGTGAGACCTGTCTAAAAAAAAAGAAAGAAGAAAGAAAAGTAAAGAAGAAAGAAAAAGAAGGGGAAGGAGGGAGGGAGGGAGGGAGGGAGGAAGGAAGGAAGGAAGGAAGGAAGGAGGAAGGAAGGAAGGAGGGAAGGAAGGAAGGAAAAAGAAAGGAGGGAAGGAAAGGGAAAGGAAGGGAAGGGAAGGCCGGGCACGGTGGCTTACACCTGTAATGCCAGGGCTTTGGGAGGCCTAGGCAGGCAGATCACGAGGTCAGGAGTTCGAGACCAGCCTGGCCAATATAGTGAAACCCTATCTTTACCAAAAATAAAAAATTAGCCAGGCATGGTGGCAGGTGCCTGTTATCCCAGCTACTTGGAAGGCTGAGGCAGGAGAATTGCATGAACTCAGGAAGCAGAGGTTGCAGTGAGGCAAGATTGTGCCACTGTCCTCCAGCCTGGGCGACAGAGCAAGACTCTGTCTTGAAGGAAAAAAAAAAAAGAAGAAGAAAGCAAAGAAATATTCCTTTGGGAGCACAGAGATCACTTGTTCAGCTCAGGGCTATTCCAAGCCTTTATTCCATGCATTCCTCCCTAAGGGCAATAGAAATCCCAAGGCGGGAAAGTTTGCTCTTCAAAGGCCAGAAAAACAATCTCACTCTTTTGGTTTATAAAGCACAGATATACATATAGTACACAAACAGGTATACATATATCTTTGGTATTAAAATTTCTTAGAGGACAGCAGTAAGGAAACAATGTCTCCCCTGCTTAGGGGGCTGATAATGAAACAAGATTAAGACACACTGCCCTAACTCCAGTGCAAGTGGAACTAATAATTGCAAGCAAGCCTTGAGTGTTTCCTATGCCCTGGAGTCTCTGTCCAGCACTTGACTTTTATTATCTCATTTAATCTGTACAACCTTTCAAGCAGGCACTGCCACTCTCCCTGTTTTAACAGATGGGAAAAC